AACCCTAATATACTGGTTGTAAGGCCAAATCAACAACCCTGCTTGTGATGAATGGTTTTTGTCAAAATAAATAAAGAATTGATAAAAAACAGATATGCACCAAAATTCAAATGTTTTGTGTCAACGCTCAAGAAAAAAATGGTATAGACACAGATAAACAAAGATAATGAAATTCAACATATGCAATTAGTCACAGAAATTATGGCACATTGTGATGTCATTGAAACTATGTATGATTCTTACATGGAAATAACACATACAAAAGTTGAATTTATAAAAAGGTTATAATTTTTAAACTTAGCATTTATTTCATATTTAAAACCCTGTGAACTACTACAAGTTAAAGACCTCTCATAACAAATGGCATGGCATTACCCATCCTTATTACCTCAGTTAGGTGCAGAGAAGGACTCAGATCTCTTCTTTGGTTTAGATGAATTTGTTCACTATTGTTCGGTAGTATGATTACAATCCAAAGGAATCTGAAGGTGAACTATAATAAGATATAAAATACACCTGGGGTCACGGTGACCAGGTCATGACCTTAGATGATGAGGTCACTGGCCAGTTATAGGGACAAGAATGACAGGTGCTTAAAGAGGGGAATCCCCATTGTGATATTGTTAAGCTATCTACATACAATATAACTGTACCAAATAATCACAAGACCTGAAAACTTATCTAAAGAGGTGCAGAGTTGACAAACTATTTTGTAAAATTTTGACACTAAGAAAAAGAACTCTAGAAACTAACCACAATTGTAAACAAAAAACTAGTGATAATTGTAAACAGAAAACCAGTGAGAATTGTGAACAAAACTTCTGTTAATAAATATTGACAATTGTAAACAAAAAACTATAAAATAAATAGAAAACTAGTGACAATTGTAAACAGGCTGTTTCTATTCAGAAATCTGTCCTGAAATGTAAATAGAAAACTAGTGACAATTGTAAACAGGCTGTTTCTATTCAGAAATCTGTCCTAAAATGTAAATAGAAAACTAGTGACAATTGTAAACAGGCTGTTTCTATTCAGAAATCTGTCCTAAAATGTAAATAGAAAACTAGTGACAATTGTAAACAGGCTGTTTCTATTCAGAAATCTGTCCTGAAATGTAAATAGAAAACTAGTGACAATTGTAAACAGGCTGTTTCTATTCAGAAATCTGTCCTAAAATGTAAATAGAAAACTAGTGACAATTGTAAACAGGCTGTTTCTATTCAGAAATCTGTCCTAAAATGTAAATAGAAAACTAGTGACAATTGTAAACAGGCTGTTTCTATTCAGAAATCTGTCCTGAAATGTAAATAGAAAACTAGTGACAATTGTAAACAGGCTGTTTCTATTCAGAAATCTGTCCTGAAATGTAAATAGAAAACTAGTGACAATTGTAAACAGGCTGTTTCTATTCAGAAATCTGTCCTAAAATGTAAATAGAAAACTAGTGACAATTGTAAACAGGCTGTTTCTATTCAGAAATCTGTCCTGAAATGTAAATAGAAAACTAGTGACAATTGTAAACTAGAAAACTCCAGAAACTGGGAATGATGATGAAGATGATGATGAGTTATTGATGGGAAAACTATGAAAGGAAATCTGAAAACTGGTGTTTTTTACAGAATACGCTAATCAATAATTAAAAAAAATTGTCCAAAAACTAGGAATGGTACCAATTAAAAGCCATAATTGATGATGATGATGTTGATAAGTTATTGATGAGAAAAATATGAATGGAAATCTGAAAACTGTCTTTTTCTAAGGTGTTTTTTACAGAATACGCTAAATCAAAAGGTGCTAATATTCATTAATGCCAGTGGACAACATCCTAATTCTGATAAAGTCTTTCTTTTAGAGAACACCATCTATTTCACAGTTTTCGTCAGATTTTATATTGTCAGAATAATCTTTCTATTTATTATAGGGACTGGTTTGTCCTTGTGTCTTGAATATATGTAAATAACCTTCAGAAGTATTTGAAATGTACAAAAATTGCATTATTCTCTCAAAAATATCTCAAACTAGGAATTTTACTCACTATTTCTAAATATGTCTTTTCTATAAATCAAAGAGTATCTTGAATTGATGACTCAAACGGTGATAATTATGGACACATGGATTTGAAGGCTCAAATTTTGACAGTGAGTCGTAAGCACTATTAGTGATTAGCTTAACTAGAAAAATTCCTGTTTCTGAGACTAAGGTATGATTGGTCAAACGGAAATGTCCCTTTATATTATTTCCTTAACAAATACTATGTTCATATCATGGTTTTATCTGAGGATTTTGAAAATTAAACTGAACACAATATAAAGAAAATTTGGGTCAGATCATGAATGTGATATGTATGAACCTAAAAAATGAAAAACATAAAACTGATCATCCAATTTACATTTTAATCTGGTATGTAAAATATTATCATTTAATTAATAATTAATATACAATATCAATAATTAACTTTACATGAACAATAAATTTAAAAAACGTCTCATTAAAAAGCTATGCTCTAATACAATGCATGTGCAAAAGAGGAAATTTTGCCGTTTTCTATGCATATGACAACATGTGATGATAAAACTGTCTTTTAATTGAATTTTTTCCCCATTTTGATGCTACTTTCATTGCAAAGGTTTTTGCGGTCCCATATCTGTTTCCTCAGAATTAAATTGCAGCTACTCATATCACTTTTATGAAGAATATTCTGGTGTGTGGTTCTTCTACAATATATTAAAACTGAAAGTGACAATTATATATTTGTTTCATGTTTTTATTATCATTCTTTAGGTAGTTATTACTAATATTATGACATCATATATTAATGTGTGATCTATTTATTTAATTGTATATGAACCAAGAGTCAGATTTTCATTCTTAAAGGTGATGCATTCAGTTTAAATTAAGTCATATCAGCTGGTGAGACAAAATTATATAATCTTCAATCCTTTGAAAAATATTTGATTTATTTTAAAATTTGTCTTTATTTAATGTATATTTTAATCATAGGCAAACATAAAGCTTACAAATCCATCTTATAAACACAGTGGTGATAAAGATTTAACATGCACTTTTGCCTTGGGGGCAATTAGTGACCTCATATCTAGGGTCATCACCAAATTTCACTTGACCCGTGTCAGATATGGGGGTGACCCGAAATGACCCAGAGGGAGTTATAAAATAAATCAGGGAGTCTTTCATCAAAGGTTGATCAATGTCGGATGTTGACAGGTTCCCCTTGGTTTGTAGACAATCTTCCAGATTCCTTTTCTTTCATATCTTTCTTGACTGTATTTGTATTAAGGAGCTTGAGGGTCAGTGAAAGTCTTTTCCCTTTCCTTTTTTCATGGGAAAAAAACGAGATTTAGATGGATTTTAGATTAGAAGTTGATTATGAATTTAAAGGTATTCTACCTCTTAGAAAGAAGTTTAAAGTTACATTCTCAAACTTATCCATTAAAGGAATACTACCTCTTAGGTTGACCAAAAAAATTGGAATTTTGATATTGGTCAAAATTAGTAAATATTGCATAGTCGACTGATATATAATATATACATTGTTAAAGGATTACTACCTTTTAGAATGAACATAAGATTCTTAAATCTTGGCCAAAATGAATATATATTCATCAGTGGACTTACCTGGTGTTCATTCTAAGAGGTAGTGTTCCTTTAAAGAGATGATAGCCTCAAAATTTTGATTTAAATAAAATCAAACACAAATAGCTAACAATATATAAACAGGTTAAATGAAGGCAACATATTGTTATTATCTATATATGGAAATTTTAGAAATGACATGAAAGTTTTTATTTATTAAATTGCAGAGGAACTGGATATCAGATTGAAATACGATAAGTGATACAGAAAGCTGAAATTAAGCTCTATGTATTCTCAGAATATTTTTAGGTGATAATATCCCTTTAAAAGTGTTTTATTGAAATCTGTATGCAATTAGTGATAATCTTGAAATTAAGATCATTTCTGCAATTGATTAATAAACTCTGGAATATTTTTTTGGCATATCTGATTTTAGGTAATAATAAGGAATAGTTTCAGGAATATAATCTGAGACTCAAAGACAAACAAAAAGTGTAATCATCACCCACCTAACACCTGCTTTTAAACATTTGTTGTTGTTGTTTATAAAGGGCTTTATTTATTTATTCTGTTTGATTAACATTGTCAAATTTAAAGTGATTCTGTTATTTGAATATTTGCTTTACTGGGATACTGAATTGTGGGATAGTGAAACCCAAAGTAAAGCAATATGAGAGCCTCTTTGGTTTTTGCTATCCCACAATACATCATTGTTGTCAAGAAAATAGTCCACAAAACATGCTTTGATTGGTTAAGATATTGTTATTGGAACTCGATTATGGTAGAAAACTTATTGGATTACAATTAAGACGAAAATTACCAGGAAAGAAAAGAAGCAAAATTGATCATCCAAGTACGAAGTTTACTTTTCAAATTTAGTTATTAGAACGGGATCATAGTAGAAAACTTGTTGGATTACAATTGAGACGAAAGTTATCAACAACAAAAAATGAAATGAATTTGTAATCATTTCATAATGAATTCGTTCAAGTACGAAGTTTAGTTTCTCTTTAATGCTGCTGTTTCAGATATAAAATCTTCATCAGTACTGATATCTTAGTACTACAGTTCACTCAGATGTCATATTGCCCTGTGTCAGTATGGTGATGTTTATATTTTAAATTTATGACTAGCACCTGTCATTGCAGTATATCAAATCACAAGTCATATCTATATCATTCTAGCAGATACTTGCTTTTAATTCCAACATGGCACTGGTACCACAAATGTCTGCAAGAAATGAGAAATTTCGAAGTCTTTATGGGTACTTTAACATGTCTGAATTTTTAGTTTTTTTTTTTCTGGTGAATCAAAAAAGTGATAGTTGTTGCAAAATTTATCCCATTATTCACATCATATGGCCTGAAATATTGTATTAGTCTAAAAAATACAGAAAAATGGTTGCAAAATTACATTTTATTTTTAACATTCAGTATTAGTTGTCTAATGCTGCTATGCAGACCAATTTCTCTCATTGCACACAGCAGTGCATGAGTTGTCTTCATTGCACACAGCAGTACATGAGTTGTCTTCATTGCACACAGCAGTGCATGAGTTGTCTTCATTGCACACAGCAGTGCATGAGTTGTCTTCATTGCACACAGCAGTACATGAGTTGTCTTCATTGCACACAGCAGTACATGAGTTGTCTTCATTGCACACAGCAGTACATGAGTTGTCTTCATTGCACACAGCAGTACATTAGTTGTCTTCATTGCACACAGCAGTACATGAGTTGTCTTCATTGCACACAGCAGTGCATGAGTTGTCTTCATTGCACACAGCAGTACATTAGTTGTCTTCATTGCACACAGCAGTGCATGAGTTGTCTTCATTGCACACAGCAGTACATTAGCTTTTCTCATTATCACACTGAGGTGCAGAAAAAAGGTAAATCTGGACTGGAAAAAAATTCTGCTCTCCTGTATAAAATTATCCCCATTGAACACAGTAGGGTATGATCTTACAAAAATTGGTATAGAAATAAAAAAATAGACACCATATAGAATCCACCATATTTTATCTATTGAAAAAAGTAAAAATATATTTGGTTTTAAAGAGGAGACAAATGTTGTCTTGGCCAAAATTCCCCTCATTGTACACAGCATGGCTTGTTTATGACACACATTCTTAAACTAATTAAAAGTACATCTGGTAAACATCGGAGGTGTTGTTTCTAAAATATAGGCATATCAGATGCTTGAACGAAAACCTGGAAAGTTTGCAGTAATTGAAAAATAACAAATCCTCGCTAAGTCTTCCACAGACAATTACCATCAAAACTAATGCAATGTTTTTCATCATAGTTAGTTTCAAATTTCGTGTTGAAAATTCTTAGGTTGGCATTTCTTGGTAAATAAGACTTTGAACTTGTTGGCTGCATTAATTAAAGTTTACTATAAGCCACGTGTTAAAGGTACAGGTACGCGATTTTTTTGACCAATCGTACCTTGGTCTTAGAAACGTTAATTTTTTACTAAGCCAATCAGTAATAGTGTTAACAGCTTACCCTCGAAATTTGTGCCTTCAAATGCATGTGTGTCTATTATTATCTGTGTTTAAATGTTAAAATGACGACTCATCAATTTAAGATACTCTGTGATATATAGAAAAGACATACCGTATATAGAAATAGTGAGTAAAATTCCTAGTTTGAAGTATTTTTAAAGGAATTATGCGATTTTCATACATTTCTAGTTCTTCTGAAGACTATTTACATATATTCAAGACCTAAATCAACCCTTAAAAATGGCGCATCTGTCCCTTTAAAGTTTATCATAAGCCACATGTTAATATGCAATGTTTTTAAAAAATGGATGCATGATGATCACCCTCCTGCCGTTAGCAACCAACGTATTCTTACGCTAGATCTATTTTTTGTTTATATCTGCAATGAATTATAAATTTTCAGCGTTATTTGGTTACATGTGAAAACAATCTGGCAAAAAATTGAACATTTTCAGATTTTTCATGGTTCTTAATTTCTCAATTTCTAATTATTTTGCTTATTAATTAATTATGAACTGTAATTAAAAATTTTAAATAAGCAAAAAGAATTCAGAAACCAGACCAAAAAATATAACAGTTATATTGAGAAAATTTTCCAATGACAAAAAAAAATGTTATAAGTTCAAGGGAGGTAAATCTTGAAGGAATAATTCATTGTTTTAAGAATACATTTTTTTATAAATGCTTTCAAATGTCTTTTCAGTTCGTTGGTATATAGAATTTTATGGATTATTTTCATAAAAATAGGAATATCCGCTTTGAAATAGTTAGTGCCGGTATTAGAAGGCCTTTGCGTTGATGAAAATATAGCCCACACATGAGCAGACTTTGAAATTCGTTCTCAAAATTTTGTTAACATTTTAGGTTAAAATTTCTGAGAGGGAAGTATATTTATAGTTTTTGTAAACTTACAGAAGAATGATCTTTTTCTTATCAATACACATTCTAATATTATCAGTGCTGTTTCGAATCTTATATACAATTTGGAAAATTTCCTTTTTCAAACAAACTTGCGAAGACAGTAAGGCTACATGGAATTATTTTTATCAAAATACAAAAATTTATTGTAGGGAATGCAGCTACAGTGGCAGGTCATTTGTTTGAGAATACTTAGTGCCACTCTGCAACTTGTTGTATCAACTAAATGAAATGAAATGAATGGAGTTTTACATCCTACTTTTCTGTACCTAAGGTGGCAACTAAGAGGCTATATTGTTATGTGTATTTTTTTGTAAAGATTGTTGGCTCAATTAATGAAATAAAATATGGCTCCTTATAAGGCACAATAATGCAAATGGACAACGCCATGCAATGTGCAATGAAGGACATTTTCTAATTGATTCAAAAGGGTCTTTCCCCTAGTTTGCTTGGGAAAATTAACTGAAAAAAAAAACTATAAGCCTACTATGTATATCATATTTCAAAATAGCAGGGTCTTTTGTTCAGAATAACGCAACTTGGAGATAATTTGCTTCAGAGAAAATTAAAATTTATTGATTAAAATGAGAAAATGAAATGAAAAAAAAAAAAACAGAACTTGTAATCAAATATTCTTCAAATGATAGATTATTTTTGACAATTTGATACTTTGCATCGCATGACTTTTTAATTTGTTTTTCACATACTATGAAAGTTATCTTTTCAAATGACTATTGAATCTTATTAACAGAAATTGGTCATTATACAAAGATTACACTCAAAATTATGAAATACTGATTAAAGATGGGTTCCCTTATTTTCATTAATGAAAATGAAAATGTTAATACTTATATGAAAAGAGGTAGTACCAGTTTGTCTTACATTTCCATAATTAATTCATAATTAGCTAAATTAGAAGAGAAATACCAGTAGAATTCCAATGAGTGACCGATCAAGAAAGGTCAAAAAGTCTCATTTTTTGTTTATCCAGACTGTACATACATGGACATTTATGATTGGTTAAAACTCTTAATTATATGCAATAAGATCATAATGATATGATTAAGAATACATGATAGTTCATTAGAAAGACTAATTAATCTAATAGTTTGTTTAATTACGAAATACCAATTTAAAGAGAAGACTAAAAATTGGTCTATTAGCTTAACTTAATTTAAAGTAGATTTAGGCAAGTGTGTCACTTTTCAGTATGGATATTTGAAATGCAATTTGTCCATGATTAAATGATAAGAATTTCTCTAACAAACAAAGGTAATGATAGTACATTATAAAGCTGTTTTTAGCATTTGACCAAGCAGCAAGCTGATACCAATAATATAACAAAATCCCCTTTGTGTCCTATTGCATATGAACTTATGCTCTGGTTGATATCTTGAAAAGTGGTATGTAAGGCAAGTATTTATAAAAATCTATGTTTGTTGAAGGGTTAGGACTTATTTGCTTGATTATTTTTACTTTTAGGGAAAAAGGGATAAATTAGTTGATAACATAACTTCAATAAATTACTTAAGTGTATCACTGTAAAAGTAATTGTCAAAAAGATATTAGACAACTGTATTCCTTAGAAAAGTAATTGTCAAGAAAAAGGCAACAACTGTATTCCTTCAAAAAGTAATTGTCAAGAAAAAGGGAACAACTGTATTCCTTCAAAAAGTAATTGTCAAGAAAAAGGGAACAACTGTATTCCTTCAAAAAGTAATTGTCAAGAAAAAGGCAACAACTGTATTCCTTCAAAAAGTAATTGTCAAGAAAAAGGGAACAACTGTATTCCTTCAAAAAGTAATTGTCAAGAAAAAGGGAAAAATAAGTTATCACATAACTATAAAAGTAATTGTCAAGGGAAATTAGAAAACTCTATCACTTAAAAAGTAATTGTAAGGAAAAAATAAGCAACAGTATCATTTTAAAAAGTAATTGTCAAGGAAATGTGAAAAATTCTTTAAAAAAGAAGTAATTATTGAGGAAAACGGGAACAAGATTTTCATCAGAGTTAAGAATTGGTTAAATTTTGTATCTTTTTTGATAAATGACTTAGTAATTAAGAGATTTATTTGAGGAACTTGATCACCACAATAGCAGACGTCAAAAAGATGTCCGAATTTCTGATGTTAAAAAACCGTCTCATTTCCTCCACGTTAAGACATTAATCAAAAACAAATAATTAAAACATTGGATTAAAATTACTTCTTTTCAAAATTTCTATGTTTCTGATTTGAAAATTTGAAAAGGTTTGAAAAAGGGATGAATTTTCATTAAATGTGCTAAAAATTAAACAAGTAAAATAATTTCTTGATTGGATTTTAGGTAACTATTTATTTTTTTCACATGTAAAATTTTTAAGCATTTCTGGAATTAATGCAATATTTTGAGTACCTCAGTAACAAAACAAGTTATAAAAAAATATATAAATAACTTTGAAACTTATTTTTAAATGAACATATTACAAAAATATAGATTGGATTTTATGGTTTAATTTGCTGTGCAATTTTTTTTTGAAAAATGGAAATTTTTATGCTCAAATATTTTCCATATCTTAGACTCAAAAATAGTAAATAATAAAACAAATTTGTAATTTATTTTTAAAAACATTTATGGACATTTGAAACCAGTTGAAAAAATTTAGGAGTTCAACTTAATATCTGATTCACTGATTGATGAAGCTTAATTTCAACTATATGTACCCCTTTTTAAAACTGACAATTCTACTTCAGATTTGCCTGCCATAAATCTCTCAAATTAATACCCTGTATGTAAAATTTGAAGAAATTTAATCCTATTGACAGATTTTCAGGGTTTCAACTTGCGTACATGTTATAAAAATGATTTTATTTTCATTTTGTCCAAAAATTTCCACGAACTCTTCTCCTATCACTGATTTTGATTGGATTAGGTTCTTGATAAATTGATGAAATTCAAGTCAAAAAGCTGACCTCTGCCCTCTTTACCACCCTTGAAAAACAGAAATAAAATGTATAGTTAAAAGTGTTCAATAGCCTCTTTCTTTTAATAAAAATGGAGTTGTAGGCTTATTTTCATCTTTTCAAAGAAAAAAATTCAAAATTTGTTGGTAAGATGTATGTTATAGAATAACAGGAAGTTTTCAAATTGAAGGTAATAAAGATCCATATTATTCTTACGAGAAGATTGCAGCTTTTAAGTCTATTTTGAGTTTGAAAATTGTGCAAAATTCTGTTGGTGAATAGAGCTATGAAAATATTAAATGAAGACTTCATGAACAAGATGGCAATATTTTTCTCGATACAAAAGAAATTTAAGTGCACTATCATTATTACAATTTTTGAAGATTTTCACCATTTTCTTTGCATTATGTCTGAATCTATCAATAGCATTAAATTTCTTTAAATTTGACATACAAATACATAAAAAT